TCACTGTCATATGTTTTTGGTTTCATACACAAAGCACTAGGAGTTGCTGTAATCCATCAAGGATCAACTAAACCTTCCATTACAACGAGTTTGTCCAAGAGCTCAACTTTCTCATCTTCAAGTGCTTTAACCTCATCTTCCACTTGTCTTCCTCTAGCAGCAAATACTCGGATGAATCTGAACTAAACATCTCTGGCTGATGTGAAATCGCATAGACTCGGTAATGGAGTCAAAGGTTGTTGCTTTGGATTAGGAATCTTCCTTCTCTTCGATCCTCGAGTTTTGCATCGCTGCCCAGAACGAGTGATTAACAAATCTTGAGGCTTTCGGTACAAAATTGAAACCCAAAGATTTCGATCAAATGTAACACATCTTCACTCAGAGAGCGATGTTTACCTGTCATCGGCGTCTAGGGTTTCACACGACGGAGATGCCTCCGAAGAGAGAATTTGAGAAAGCAAATGATGAGTCGGATTGGTTTTAACTTTTAATTGATTTTATTATCTTGAACCGCCATCGATTACAAACCGTAACTTACCCTAAAAGTCAAAAGGCTTAACGGGCTGAATCACCGGTTTACCTTCAGCTTCCAATTTTATTCGAGTCGATTACGCAATATATAGGTCACATTTTGACTTATTCTTACATCCACAGACACTTATCACTTGCAAGACACAATTACAATATACGAGACCGATTAAGGACCATTTTACCCTTATTGAAACAAAACTGGATAGACGTTTACTTTTATGCATTTCTTTAGGACCACTAGTTTACAAAATAAAATTTTCATCTAAACGTAGACACTAAAAACAAAGACATGATTTTTTTTGTTTAGCCTTCCACTTTCAATTGCTTTTATTTAAATTTTAAAATATATCAACTAAAGATAATTGGTACATTAGATTATATATAAAATTTTATATCTTTTGACATCTATTTTCATATATATATATATATATATACATATATATATATATATATATATATTAGCATTTATATAAAAAAAAGTGTGGACATGTATGAAGAATACATGTTTGTGGACAGCTATTTAAGTAAGAGTGAGCTTGGACATGAACACAATTTTTCTTGTTTGTTTGGTTATGTTACAAGACAAAAAAATGAATGGACGAGTGTTAATATGTAGTGGATGAGATAAATTAATGTGGAGTCGTGGACGAGTGTTTGAATTGAAATTACCAAAAACATAGTTATGAAGATTATATGGAAAATCTTTTGTGGATAAAAGTGTACAATTAAGAGTTTGGGCCGAAATTAGAGGATATTTCTGCACACTAAAGAGTTTGAGGTAAAAAAAAACTACAGAATATGGAGGGACCAGATGTGAAAAAAATCTGAAATTCACCATTGTTGGCTAGCTCGAAACCTTGGAGAGAAGACGGCGAGTCTGTTACGGTGCAACGGAGACGGCGAACACGAGTTGAAAGCACGACACGGAGGAGGAGTTGAGCACGGCGTGAAAACTCACCGTATTGGAAGCTACGACGGCAATCTGAGACGAGGTGACCACGGCGAGGCGATTTGAGAAGAAGAGTTGGTTGCATGACGGAGGGAGGAGAATAGCGGAACAGCGACAGAATCTTTCATGGTGGTCATCCACATCCATAGACTCTGTTGCAAGAAGCAAAAGATAAGAAGAAAATCACCAAAACCATAGACTGTTGCAGATGCAATTCTGTCCATTCACATTGATAAAGTCCAAACCTTTAATCTGTGACTAAAGAAGAAAAGATCTATCAAAAGAAAAAACAAACCAAAATCTGAATGTAATCTATTTACAAGTAAACTTGACGGACCAGTCATAACCATCGCGCTTTGGTCTCATCACACCCATCGCTCTTTTTGTTTTTTTTTAGTGTGCATTTGAGATTTTATAATCGAGAAAAGAGACATGATGAAGAAATTGGTCTGAGAGCTAAAGGAAAAGTCAAAAGAATAATAGAAAAGTAAATTAAGTTTTAGTTTAGGGGTGGTAAGGTCATTGAACAACAGAAAAGTGTGTGACAAGAGTATTGTGTCTCTGTATGTTATTATAAAGTGAGAAAGTGTCTCTACGAGTAAATTTTTCATTTTATTCTCATTGTTAGTTGGTCCCTTAATTAAAATTCATTCATGGGTTGTGGTTAGGAGTTTTTTTTTTTTATTTAATCCGGTTTAGTACCTCTTATTTTGGTTCATTTTTCTGTTTTGGGTTAAATATTCCCACACGTTTGAGGAATTACGTAACCCGATATGATTAGGGTTGGACATTTTATTCGTTAAATTTGATTTGATTTGTTATTTGATTCGATCCAAAAATTTTAGATATTCGTAAAATTTCGAAGAAAAGCAAATATTAAAAATCAATATCTGTTAAAATTGAAACAAATCACAAATATTAAAATTTTAGAAAGCACCGATCCGATAATATATAAATATATATATATATATATATATATTTATTATATTTAAAATTTTTAATGTATAAAATTATATAATTATTATTCTACATATGATTTGACAAATAATATTCATATTATTACTTATATAAAAGTATTACATAAAACAAAGAGAAAAAACTTATGACAATTATAATTTTTTTTCTTAAGTTTTGTGTCATAATAATTGTTAACTAAGTTTAAAAAGTTTACAAAATATGTAGATTCACTATTTCTTTTATTTGTAATAATCAAAACGGATAAGATATCCGTACGTATTCGTAAATATCTGCAAATATCTATTTATTTTCTGGACATCTATATTTTTCTGAAAGAAAACATATCGAAAATTATATATTCGTAAAATATACTTTCAAGAAATCTGGATATCCGATCTGTGGCCAGCCGATATGTAGTTATAATTTCTGGGCTTTAACTACATGCCAAAGTCTTTATGGATACATTATCATTTGAGAATGATTAAAGAAGATTTGGGCCTAAATTAACAGGCTTTTTCTGAACCACTACAAACAAATACAGTAGAAGCCGCATGAATTGACTTGAAACAAGGTTCAATGTATCAAACTTCATGAAGATCTATGTGTCTGAAACGTACCACTTCTTAAGATTCCCCGTACATTAGAATAGTCCTATACGTACGTTCCTTATTCTTTGCTATTCTTTTGTTCAAAAAGAATCAACTTTACAAGATACTCATAGCTCTTCTGCTCTTGTAACAGAGACATGCCATGATCTCAACTCATACTCTTGTCTCTCTCTGTCAACAATGCACAATGCCTCGAATTGATCATCAATAAACAGTGCCAGCCTTGAAGCACTCAATCTAGTTTAAATCTTTCTTAAATTGTCTTTGCTTTGGGTGAACAGGGGACAATGCATTGAACCTCCCTCCTTTATCTTTATCAGCATATTAGATTATGTACATTTTTCTTAATAAAATAAGTAGGAAACATTATTTTTCTTGATAAAATAACTAATTTTAAAGTTATTAGGTATTAAGATAATAAGTAATTATAAGGGTTTTTTTTGTGCGGTAGTGTTATCGGATCGGTGCTTTCTAAAATTGAAACAAATCACAAATATTAAAATCATGGATGATATATAATAAGCGAAACAGTCTTCATAGGAGTCTCATAATTTTTAGGTAACATAACCTTAACATTATTCATGATTATAACAACTGTTGTTTATTGGTTACCGTTAACTTGAAACCACTCTTTATTTGTTTCTAGGATCATCTCTAGTCTTAGTTCTGCTTATTGTAGCAGCTAAACCTACCTCTAGATTCATGCTGTTACCACCTCCTTAGATTGTATATTGCTACGGTCACTTCTTCAAGCCTGAGTAACTCTCTCCCATACTTTAGAGTTTCTTTCATTGGTAAAATAACACTCCAAACTTGCTAAGGTCAGTGCAAACCTTGAGAAAATCAAATGTATTATCATTTTATGGATTTCAGTGCAAACATCCAAGAGGTGTATAACTTGAGTTAAAGATAAATTCGTTTAGGTAAAGGACTTAGACATGTATAACCTTTTAAGTATGTTCCACCTGTAAGATTGATTTGAATCTCTCCTATAGCCGATCTTCCCTTCAAACCGGATTCTTCTTTTACCTCTGAAGCGAACCAAACCACTTTATCATCCGGTGAATCGATAATAAGCTAAACCACAAAAAACACATTTCAAATGAATCAACTCTTGAACAACACATTTTAAGACGAGGTTCAATGTATCAAATCCCATGTAGATCTTTTGTCGGAAATGTACCACTTAAAGTTTTCCCATACATTACAACGTCTCATGATATAGCTTTAATCAAATTCATCTACATACGACCTACATGATTCTTTTCCTTGGATAAACAAGTTTAATATATATACATAGCTCTTGTAGCGGAGACAAACAATTATCTTAATTCATAATCATGTCTCTCACTCAACGATTCCTATAATGAACTCCATGACAGCCTTGAAGCACTCACTCATAATTTTTAAACCTTATAATAAAACGAGTTTGATTGATTGAATCATGGGACAAAACACTGAACCGCCCTAAATCCTAATCAAATAGTAGATAATACTTTTCTTAATAAAATAACTTTACCAGGGTTACAGCTTACAGCATCTTACTCTTCACGACCGTCTTGGGGAGTTGTCCACAACAACAACAACAAAAATGTGAGTAATTGATATTATAATAAATGCAATTGCATGAAACAAAAATGAGTTGAAATCTGAAATGGTCTGCCACAAATGTTTCTATGTCTCCTCCTTCTGATAAGCCCACTCTTCCCGGCTAATCAAATGGGAATAACAAAGGCAACATCTAGTAGTGGCTTCATCTAGTTCTGGTCATTTGAAATTTTGAAGTTAGTTTCACGTTCAAAAACAGAGCATTCAAAGCTTCCTTCACCTCCATGTGCATCGTGGCTTAACTAAACATTGACTGTAAACTAATTAAATATCCCATGTTTCCCTCACATGCCTTCACTCATATATATACCCAACTTCTCCTTATTTCTTCAGCAGAATCAAGAAACATGGCATTTCCTGAAACCCACCCCCATATGCCCATTAGATCTATAAGTCTACCATCAAGAATACACCATCCTTGTACTACATTCCAAGCTGCTCTCTCTCAACTTCAGACTTGCCAGAACTCATTCTCTGATTCTCAGTCTCTTCAAGTATCATTACTCAATCTCTCTGAGCTTTACCATTCTCTCTACCAGCTCAATCACTCTCTTCCCACCGCTCAAGCCGAACATACTCTTGACGTGTCAGCCACATTACTGGACGCTTGTGACGCAGCGAGAAACCTAATCCTCACTCTCAGAGAGCATCTCCTCAACCTTCAGTCTGCACTTAGGAGAAAAGGAAAGTCCATGGAGGTCCAGATCAAAGAGTACTTTGTCTTCAGAAAGAAGATCAAGAAAGAGACTAGTAAGCTTATTATTCGCCTCAAGAAGCTGGATGGCTCTGAGACCACAGCGTTGGCCGTTTCTCTCTTGAGATCTCTTTTCATGTTTCTGTCCACAACAACGTCGATGAAGACAAATACCTGCACTCTCAAATTCGTGTCAAAGCTTATTGGTAGTGGTCGTTCGTCATCGTCAATAATGAGCGAGTTGGAGAATCTTGATTTGGTTTTGCGTTCTGATGGAGATAACTCCAAGGAAGTGAAGAAGACTTTGGAGATATTAGAGGAGAGAACAGAAGGACTTGAAGCTGCACTTGATTATCTTTTTAAGTCTCTTGTCCAATATAGAGTTTATTTGCTTAACATTCTTACAACACACTCTTAGTTTGTTTAGTAATTAGTACTTAGCTAATTAGTCTGTAATTGTACACACAAACATATATAGAAATACATACAAATTCTCCTAGTGAAAATTTATCGTAAGCCATTACTGATTAAAGCTACATAAATCAAAGTCTTTTGTAATTACACTCGAAATTCATCTGTAAGGGGGCAAAGTCAGAAAAGGATACGAGGATGAGTTTGTTTAGAGTTATGTCCGTACTCTTACATGTATTTTATGGCAAATAGATGGCGTGTTGGTCCAGCATTGGTAGAAGTTCCTTCCCTCGTGCACATTATTTGTTTAAGATTAAATCTTAACATCAATACCAATGATAGAGTCTTCTTTCATCATCAAGATCTTCAATTTCGGATGATCTAGTGGTTTTAGTTAATCGCTAATTTTTTTTTGAATAAAAGGGAGAGGGAGGAGTGGATCTTTGATTCCTCTTGTCCCCACGCTCCAGTACATGCACAGCTCAAATTTGCTAATATGTTGGGCCCGTTCCAATTTTATATAGCAATCAAGTAATCATAAGATTATAAATAATAATGCATAATATAAAACTAATAATAAACGAGTTTTTTTGGTATAACACAATAAGAAAGTAAACGAGATTTTCTTTTTGGTATATCCTGGTTTCCTTAATTGTTTTCTCTACAACGATTAAGCCTAGGCAAAAGAACCGGAACCGAAAAACCAAACCGGAGTCGAACCGAAATATCCGAAACAGAAACTGAACCGAGACTCTCAAATATCCGAATCGTTCTTATATTTATATATCCGAAATAACCAAACCGAACCAGAACTGAACCGAGAACCAAACGGATACCCGGATATATAATAATATTAATTTTATATACATATACCATAATTAAATATATGATTTTAATTTAAAAATTTATTAAAAGTATCCAAAAATAATTGAAGATAACTAAATAATTATAAAGTATCAGAACTACGGATAATTTTTATTTGAAATATCCAAAATTTGTATCTAAATTGTTCTAATTATTTGATATTTTATCTTAAATAACCGATAATTTACCCGAATTACTCGAACTCGAACCGGAACCAAATGAGAACCGAATTTTTCGGGTGTTTTCTGGTTCCTAGTTTTACTATCCGAACCGAACCGAATCCGAAACTATCTGAACCAAACCGAACCGAAAATATGGCAAGTAGTAAATGGATCCTCTAACTCCCTAACCAAACTATATGAAACCTGAAATACCCGAACCGAACCGAACCGATACCCGAAACACCTAGGTCTATATATAGTATTAGTAGTCGTTTATAACATTTGTTAGTTCATTTAAATTTTATAAATCACCTTTCTAAGTAAGAAAAAAACAGTGTTTTAAACCCCGATCCGGACTCGCGGTTTAACCAGTAAATCTGGTGATTAAACATAAATTTGGTTTGGGTTTTGTGAAAAAACAATATTAAAATTCGGAAAAATCACTAAAATCTGGAATCCGACTATCGGTTGAACCAGTAAATAAATTTTACTTTTTTTTTGCTTTAATTATGTTTTGATTGAACTTTCTTATTCATATATAATTCCAATTACGCTATTTTATTTATGATTTTTAGATTTTTATGAAGTTACTATACGACTGGAAGAAAATGAAGTGAACAATAGTAGAAAGAACCAAAATTAGTTGATGTAATTTGGTGTTAGTTTATTATTATCAATAATTTATTCCAATTATGTTTTACTTTTGGATTTGAAGTTAAATTTTATTATTCATATTAGACATTTATTTAATATTTTATGTTAGATTATAACTCTTAAGTTCTTAATTTGTTTACAAAAAGATAATAAATTAAATTATTTTGATATTATGAATGTCAAGTGAAAATAAAAATATAGAAACTAAAGTTAAGTATATACTAAATGCTTCTTAAAACATAAAATATATACATTTCTAAACTATTATTTTATGTTTTGAAAATTATTTAGAAAACTTAATTTTAGCTTCTATATTTTTGTTCTTATAGATAATATATTATTATATAATAAAATTAATTAACATTAATTTATGGTTTATTTGCGGTACCTAATAATCCGACGATCCAAGAAGTTATCTGATTAAATGTCTGGGTAGGATTTCAAAACATTGGAAAAAAACTGACTCATATATCGATAGCTTGGTTTTGTTTTTTTTATTTTCCCGATAGATAGAGAAAGCATTTTTTTTTTTTTTTTTTTTTGGCACAAGATAGAGAAAGCATTA